ATTGCACATTAATTATGTTGCATGCAGCCTGGATAATACAACCCTGGGAGAACACTCAGATACAAAAGAAGAGAATCTAAGTAGACCCTTGGGCACTCTAAAATCAGTAAGTCCAACACAGGAAGAGAACTCAGTAGATGAAGCTAAGAAAGCATGTCCTGTGTTGTAGGGAGAAGCCAGGATGGTGCAGTAGCAGTTATAAGAACAAGAGTCTACTGAATAATTCTGAATGGTCTAATATGAGAAGAATAGAAATGGAACCATTGAATTAGGAATATGGAGGTTATTGCTTTACCAGGAGTAGTCTTCAAGAGTGGATGCACAGTAAATCAGTGGAGAGCAGGACTATAAGAAATCTACAATAAGGTTTTCTGTGCAGAGAAGTGGGACAATGCCTGGAGGGGAATATGAGGACAAGGTTTGTCTGTCTGTTTACAATAGGAGATTCTATTCTTAGTGGTATTTCTCAAAGGTAAAGAAGAAACTACCTCCCCAAAGGGTAGTTAGAGATACGTAGAGGTACTTCCTCATCAACCCAGTTGCCAGGGGGTGCTCCTGGTGTTTACCAGACTGCAGCTGGAGATGAACATCCTGCAGAGCTTAGGGTATTCTTTCTTGAGGAACAATTGTCTTAACCCCAAAAGCACTGAGCCTATTTTTATGCTGATGACAATGATCTATCTTGGCTTCTGTTTTTATTTGATTCCCCCACAGAAATGTCTGGGCGTCACTTAATGTTCCATGCCATCTAAGCCAAGCCTTTGACAAATCTGGATTGTTCTTTGATTTGTCCACCTTAGATCACCCCTTCTGAGATCTCCAGGGAATCCATCACTGTGACTAAGGGAAAGCCAGGCACTGACTGGTTTGTGCCCATCCTTGAGCCTATTGCTGTGACAAAGAGGATGAGGTTATGCTGATTAATAAGAGTCCACTCTGGACTCGAGGGAGAGAGTGGCTCACCCCACCTAAATTCCATGACTGCTCTCCGTGTGGGAAATAGAATGGCTGCTTTCAAGGCAGTCTGGATCCTATAAGGACCATCATCTTTGGACGGATTTAGGAATGATGCATGATATGAAACTACTATAGCTGTAACTCAAGTATTTCTACCCCCCCAGTCAGGCCAAGCAAAGAGAATAGCCTTGAGAGAAACATAAGCACCCATCACCCAATGACTTCTTCCCCTTTTTCTTCTCAGTTACTTTCTTATAATCTGGATCTTCTGAACACTGGTTAGGAATGGCATCAAAATGAGTGTGGATGTGTCTCATTATCTTTTTCTTAGCAGTGCATTATGGTATTTATTGTTGTTTATTACCATTATTAACATTATTGATAATATTAATTGGTATAGTATCTATTTCTGATTCTATTATAGGTGTCATTAAAACAATACATTCCCAAACTTTTAATTTATAATTAAAATCTCAGAAAAGGAGACAAGCTAAATTCTTTATCCTGGTCTCTTTGTTCCTGGGATTTTTCTGTCCATCATGAAGAAGAGCAGAAACCAGAAAAATAGGCTACTTTATTTATCATTTACCCATATCCCATTTAATATATCTTAGTTACAATATAAAGGATGGGTGCTACTTTAATTAGCACTACCTCTTCTAGGTGACTAAAATTAGGGAACTGTTTTTTTGAGTACAAACTTTCCCTGTACTAAGAGTACAGAATGTGTACCAAATGACTCTTCCCAGAATTTCCTGATGCATCCATAATCACAACAAATCTTTTGTAATGGGGCATTTAAAGTTGTGCACATTCAGCAGATAAGGAAGCTAAGAAAAGGTGACCAGGTAGTTTGTCCTAAGTCATAAAATTAACAAGTGGCACAATGGATTCCAATTTCTCTTTTCCTGGCTCTAAAGATACTCTACTTCCTGTGACTTTTCAAGAGGTAGTAGAGGGAGAGGGTTGGGTGCATTCCTCTGCTCCTCTCTTTTGGGAATCTTGGAGTTACAGGACCAGAACCGATGGGACATGACGCATTTCTCACATGTGCCAGAAGGAGGTAGAGACCCACCACAAAATACGCTACTACCACTAAGCACTGGTCATTTTCCACATAATGGCACTTGATTATTGATGGTCTGGTCACTTGAAAATGTTTGTTCTTATCCATGACCATATTTTAGTTTGCCTAATACCTGCTGTGCATTTGATCAGTTTTTCCATTGTCAATCCATACTGTATATCTGAACTGCTTCTCAAAGGTATTCATTTCTAAGGTATTGACATGATTTATCCAAATTGAACTTAAGTTAAAAAACTTTAATTTTTCTACTTAAACAGAATGAAAAAGGCCTTTAGCTACTAATGATTTGAATTGTGGTACAGAATTCCCTAGAATGTTTTTTGTAGCTCTCTTTCCCTTTAGTTTGGCTTGTTTGCTTATTTTTATAATTCTTGTCCTTAAGATGGAATCTCCATAATTGGAACCCCTGGTGAAAAATCATCAACTCAGTACAGCCTGGAATTTTGATTCCTTTTTTTAGTTTTAGTAACTTTTGTGTAGTCCCCAGCTGTTCCTTCCCATAGCCCCGTCTATGGCGTTCTGCTTTAAAAACAAATCTGTTCACGCTACTAGAAAATCACGTGTAGAACTGGGACCATACGTTTTGTCCCTTCTTGCCCCTTCTTGTCTATCTTATCTCATGAATGGGTTGCCTTATGGTCTCTGACCTGAGGATGCTGGGAATATACCCCAAGGGCTCCCAATACACATTTATTTCTCCTCCTCTACTTCAGTGGTGTCACATGACATCTACTTAAAAGTTTATTAAAAGCATCTATTCCTCTGTAATTTTTTTTTTCAAAAAAAATTTTTTGTTTTTTTTAGAACACTTCTATCATTTCCAGTCCATACCCCTTTCCTAAGTGTGTTTCTGTGCTGGGTAAACTGTGTCCGGTTTTTGCTCTTGTGTCATCCGTGGTGCCTGCTCTCATTTTGGTATCATTTTCATTTTATTGTGTCTTATAACCATTGTTCATTATTCTTTGCTCTTAGCTCTTCATCAGAGCTTTTATTTTTTAATCCCATTTTTCTGCTGCTAACCTGGATAGGAAATACCTGAATTATGTTGGAAAACCTGTTTGCTGTTGTTGTTTGTCTTTTTTATCATAAGGAAAAGGAATGTGGACTTTTCTTTGGAGAATATTTTAGGCAGCCTGTTATAGTAGAAATGGAAAGGAGTTTAGAGTTTGATTGAACTGAATTTGAGTTGTGATTCCATTACAAAGCTGCCGATGTCCTTAGAAAAGTGATTGCAATTCTCTAGGACTCCATTTACTATTCTATTAGGTAAGGATAGTATTACTGACCTTACCAGATCATTGGAAAGCTTAAAAATAGCACATGTAAGGTGCAACTTCTGCCACATAGTGTTCGATTATTACTGGCATTGTAATGATTATTTTATTGTAATTATTATTTGGTGGACCATCTCATATTCGAATTGACAACTAGTACGTGATAATGCTACATTTAAAGGACATGCAGCAGAAAATAAGCTATAATGGCTCGCCTTAAGGAGTTTATAATCTTTTAAAGAAGGAGAAGTATATACCCAAAACACGTTAAGTCAGATACAAACATTCATTATTTTTGAAGGTAATTATGTGATAGTTATAAACACTATAAATATCACTTAACACATCACAGAACACCCTCTGTGGGTTATTTACTGTGACGATTAGGGAACTGAGAGTTAAAGCAATTGGGGTAAGACGTTTACCCCACCTGTTATGCTGCGAAGGGACCTACAGGGACTGGTGCAGGGGTCCTTCCCACTCTGGAGGGTGTCCTTGTAACCTCTGTGCTCTGCTGCCTCCAGAACAGAATGGGGCAAATGGTGTAAGATGGTCATGCTCAACCCCCTGAGGCCCTCAAGATATGGGCTCGGTCTTGACTGGGCTGATAGTGAGAGGCCTCTTGGAGGAGGGACGTCTGAGACAGATCACGTGGTGAACAGGCTTTCAACAGGCAGAGAGGAAGAAGACATGGGTGCAGAAGTGTTCTGGGAGCATTCAGTGTAGCAGTGCGCATGTGGGGACTGATGGAGAAGCTGCTGGGATATAGGTTTGTGTCAGATGAGAGGGGCCTTGGGTTTTTCTCACCAGCAGACACGGTGACACTTTAAAGGATTCGAGGGTTATGCCATGATCAGAGCTCTGGATTGATAAGGCTGACTCTGCAGAACAGTGCAGGACATTTTGGACGTGAAGAGAGTGTATCACGACTCCAGTTGGGAGGCTAGTGCAAGAATCTAGAAAAGATTGACTGAAGTAATGACAGAAAGCATGGGCAGGAAAGGACCTGTGTGGGCGACATTGACAAGTTAGAATGGCAGTCGGCCATGTTGAGAAGGCTGCAGAGACGGCAGCTCCCAGCCTTGGTTGTGAGGGGGGTAGCGTCTCCAATAAGAAAGATGGTGTCCGTAGTTTCAAAAGGAAGGGCAAATAAGTATCACCATAAGATCTAGTGGAGCCTTTTGGCAGGGTCACCCAATGTCCAGGGCTCGGGTGGGTCTTCACTCTAGTCGGTAATGCAGCTTGAATGGTTTCTATCGCTCTACCGTGAGTGCAAACATAACGCCTCCGATATTTATGAAGAGGGGCACCATGGAGGGAGTGGGCATTCATACAAGCTGCTGGAGCTGAATCTCTTCCATAAACTCCTTGGAGTCTCACAGTTCCAATCTACCAAGTATTCTGCCTGAGCCCTTTGTTTCCCAGGACAGGTGTCAAAGGGAGCATGCGATTATGTTTGAGGGTCACTGCCTAATGTATGAAAAGGAAATCCCACAGGGAAACTCCGTTTTTCTTCAAACGTTGCTCCATTGCATTCAGTTTTATGTTATAAGTGAAAGAAAATGTATGTCATTCATTGAATGGCGGGCGAGTGGTAACTTGGTTCAGAAGTGTTGCTATTGCCCTGTCAGAGCTTTGAGTAATACTCACTTTTCTCCCCTCTCTCCCAATGTCTTGGTCAGTGTTTGTCAGGTTCAACTCCAGCCATGGTTTCCCAGTGGAGGTCGATTCGAATACCAGCATCTTCCAGCTAAAGGAGGTGGTTGCTAAGCGACAGGGGGTTCCAGCTGACCAGTTGCGTGTGATTTTCGCTGGGAAGGAGCTTCGGAATGACTTGACAGTGCAGGTGAGTCTCCCTCGGTGGATTGTTCCTGGGATGCAGCCAGCCGCATTGCTTATGCTGCTTACTCAGCCAGGCTGACATTCATGCCTGAGATCTAATAGAATAAATAGTGCCTGGGGATTCCTTGAACTTTATTCCACACCACTTCATTAAATCTGACCTTCTTAATTATGCATTAAAACAGCAAGCAGGAAGGACTGGAAGAACAACTGTGAGTGAGGGGGAGAGAGAGAGAGAGAGAGAGAGAGAGAGAGAACACACAGACTGGGCTTAGTGAATAAATGTTTACTGACTACAGGAGCAGCAAGGCACAATTTCTGTGTCTGTTCAATTTCTACCTTACTTATTCCATTTGAATCTTAATGAAGAAGGATTCGAATAAATGGTTCCAAATCAGGCTGCTCAGTCACTGTGCTGTGAGGAATTTGTAACCCAATTGTGACCCCTGGAGGATAGTCGCAAGCCTGCCTCCGGGGCTCGCTCGAGAAGGTCGCCGGCTCAGGGCCCGTCCACAACAGACCATCCAAACCCCAGTTTCTGTGCCGGTAGCCAGGGAAAACGGAAGCGTAGCAAAAGTCCACCTTTGTGCTTATTTTCGCCACGCCTCAGTAAAATTGTCCTTAGAACAGGCCCCCGAAATGTCAGAGAGTGAGCAGCGCCTGTCCTCTCCTATAGCACCACACTGCTCCTAAGGCTATCCAAGCGTCCTAGCCTTTCATCTGGGTGTTTCATTGCCAAGGGTGATTTCTGTAGCAAGAAGGGGAGAACTGGTGAAGGAAGTGATGCACAGTGCCCTCACCTGGAGGTGGAGACCTGTCATTTGTTGGGGGAGGTCAGCAAATACTGTTGAACGGGGATTGAAGTCCTTCTTTGTGAAAGCGTGAAAGACGGAATGCTTTCTGTGGGTGGAACAGGTGATGCTGAGGGACCCCTCAAACACGCGTTCCCCCTTCCTTAACCAGTGCCGATTAACTGCACTCCTGTTTATGGCTTTGTGGGGGCTGCTGCTGTGCACAGCGGGGCTGCCAGGTCGGGCTACATGGAAACCCCTTCTGGTATTGACATCCTATCATTGTCCTCTGTTGATATTTACTGCTACATCGCTAAATGCTTTCGAAATTTGGGTATACAAAGAAGCTGTAGAAATGCAAATCATCCCCCTCCTGCTCCACCGTGTCTTTGCTGATGGCTGGAGGCACGTGCTGATTGAGCACAAACTGCTGTGCTTTGCTTTTAGGCAGTTTGTTTTTATAAGGGAAGTGCCTGTGCTAAAAAGTGTTTCGCTTTTTTTTTATTTCAGTCAACTAAAAAGCTTCTTACTGTACCTGCCAATCTCTAAATCCAAGAATGTTCCCTTCACAAATAAATGATTTTAAAACAGCTCCTTGAACCAAAATATTTTATGTTACCAGGAGTTTTGAAGTTTCAGGTTCTAAAGCTCTTCACCTTTACTGTTCAAGCTGATAGGTTAAACTAATTGCTATAGAGGATTCATTTGACAAACATGTATGTGTAAGATATATATTGATTTAGATTCTTTTTCTTTTGACACACACTTCCAATGTTCTGGGCTTCCCAGGGGCTCACAAAGAAAGGCGAAATTCATTCCTGCTTTTGTGGTGACTCTTTATTTAGGGGCCCTAAAAGCAACAGAAGTATTAGGTTGAACCATATGGCATAAAACTGTGAAATTGCTATTTCATGTGGTCCAACGTAAGAATGTCAAACATGAGAAGCACCATATGGAAACTGAAATGTAAGTATTACAAGATTCTAAAGGTGGAGAAAACACATCTGAGTAGAAGTCACCAAGACTTTGTGCATGAATTGAAACTGGAGTAGGATTCCATAGATGGAGAATGAGCATGGAGTGTGCTTTCTGGAAAGCATGGGTCCCTGTTCTAGAAGCTAGAAGAGATGTTGAAGACTGGCAGGAAGGGAGCTTAGAGCTGTATCTTGCAGAGGTTTCATGCATGGAAATAGGGTGCTGTCGAGGGAAATGGGAGTCTGGAGATCCAGTCTGGTTGTAGGAAGGATGAGGAACTTAACCTGCATGATAAGGGGATGCCAAGGGAAATATATATGGGGATGTCTAGCAGGCGTTTGAGAACTTAGCTGTGGCACTTCGGGGCTCACTTTATATTTAAGGACGAGCTACCTAGAGCTAAATATTACAGCTATTGGGTTAGATGTGGCTGCCGAAGGGGCAGAGGACAGAGGCATGAGCAGGTCTTTTAGGCAGCGAGGGGAGAAGCCAGTAAAGGAGGCATCATCCATCCAACTGATGCATTGGAGGATATTTTGGAAAAGGAAATTACTGGTAAAGAAGTATACCCGCTGTGAAAAGATGGGGGAGGATGAGAAGAAAAGAGCCTTTGGACTTGATGACCATAGTGATGACTCCAGTCCAGGGTTGTGGTTGGTGAAAGCCAGAGCGTTGGGTTCAGCGTGAGCTGCGGACTATAATGAGGAGGCTCAGCTTGTCAGCAAGGTTATATTATCTTCATTTCTAAGTGCATGGATTATACTATAGAGTGTTTACATCATAACTCTTAAGTATTTAGGGAATACCTAGTTTTAATACTACAAATTAAGGCAAAACAATTTTTCTTAAATGTATCTTACATACTTAGACAATGTGGCCTCTCTGTATTTCAGTTTGCTCATTTGTAAAGTGGAAATAATACTAGTATCTATCTCATTGGAATTTTGTGAGGACTAAATTAGTTAATTTATGTAAAGCTCCTAGAACAGAGTGCAACATATAGTAAACACTATGTAAATGTTAGCATTTATTAGCATCCTCATCCCCGTGATTATCATCACCATTATTAGGGACAACTTCAGAATCTAAGAGATCACTTTAAATAACACAAGACTACTTTCCATCATGAATTATGAAGAGGATATCTGCAATAAATTAAAGAGTTAAGGAATGACAATAGGATACATATTTGACTGGGGCAAATATATCTGTGTGTGTGTGTGTGTGTGAATGTATATCTATGTAGTATTTATACATTTTAAGTAAAGTGTATACTTTTAGTTAAATTAAATTTTAGTTTAGTTAATTAAAAAGAACTCTCTAGAGTTTGTAAATGAATTTGTGACCCTTACTTGTACAGGTTTTACTTACCTTAAGAATAGTGGAATTTGAGCAGTGCCTGGGTGGCTCAGTTGGTTAAGCATTTGACTCTTGATTTCAGCTCAGGTCATGATCTCAGGGTCATGAGATTGAGCCCTGCCTCAGACTCCATGCTGGACGTAGAGCCTGCTTGAGATTCTCTCTCCCTCTCCTCTGCCCCCCATCTGGCATGTACTTGCACGCACTCTCTCTCTACAAAAAAAAAAAAAAAAAAGAATAGAATTTGAATTTGAATTTAGCAATCTTAAAAAGACTTTATACTTCCTCTAGACAACTGTAGTAAAAAATAGAAACCTATAGGGGTGCCTGAGTGGTTCAGTCGTTAAGCATCTGCCTTCAGCTCAGATCATGATCCTAGGGCCTCCTGGGATTGAGCCCCACATTGGGCTCCCTGCTCAGCGGAAAGCCTGCTTCTCCCTCTCCCACTCCCCCTGCTTGTGTTCCCTCTCCCGCTGTGTCTCTCTCTGTCAAATAAATAAATAAAATCTTTAAAAAAAAATAGAAACCTATAGCCATAGTGTTCAGCAGAGATTCCTAGATTCATCATGGTATTATTGCTTTTAAAATATATTTTTGTAAAGTGATTATTTGCCACATACTGTGTTTGTTATAAGCAAACTATAAAGAGTTGTACAATTTTTTCCTACTTCATAAACAATGTTTCTGTGCATGCTTTTATTATTTTCCTTATACCTACAAGTATGCGATATAAAACTAATCTTTGACTTAGTATGCATAGTTGCTTGGTATTTTTCTTTATAAGGACTTCTTGTCAGCTCTTGCAACAGAGTATTCAGGTCCCATTCACATGATGTGTCTCTCATTTTCCTAATCCCAAATCTAACATGCTCCATGTCAAAAATCTCTGAAATCACCTGTATATGATTTTGAATTTATTATTCAGAATTATACATGGAAAATAATATTCTAAAGTAGTTGTATAATTCAAAATGTATGAACTGTGTCATTAGATTAACTTACAATGACAGGGACTTGAGAATTTATCTAAGATTTTGTTTGAGCAGAATTCATTGTATTCACATGAGCTGTATTAATATCATTAGTATCAATATAAGTTTATTAGCCAGTGTATTAGAGTTCTCCAAAGAAACAGACTGGTAGGATGGATTAATCCATCCATCCATTCATCCAGCCATCATTTTTTTAATCTATCTATCTATCTATCATCTATCTATCTATCTATCTATCTATCTATCTATCTATCTATCTATCTAGGATAGACAGATAGATACATAGATGGATTTATTATAAGGAATTGACTCACATGATTATGGAGGCTGACAAGTCCCAAGACCTGCAATCTGCAACTTTAGTTTGGTCTCAGCTTGAAGGATTAAATCAGGAAAGGGAATGGCATAGTTTCAGTCTGAAGGCTGACAGCCTTGAGACCCAGGAAGAGCTAATGTTTCAGGTCAAGTCCAAAGGCAGGAAAAAACAAAACACAAAAACCCTCAAACAATGTCCTTGCTAGAGGGGCACTGAGAAAGTGAAATTCCCTCTTATTCATGAGAGAGTCAGTCTTTTTTAAAATTTTTCTCCCCAGGCCTTCAACTGATTGGATAGGGCCTACCCATATTGGGGAGAGCTGTCTGCTTCACTCAGTCTACCAATTCAAATATTAATCTCACCCCTAACACCCTCACATACACACCTAGACTTATGTTTGACCAAATGCATGGGCACCCCATGGTCCAGTCAAGTTAACACATAAAATTAACCATCTCAGCCAGGAAATGAGAAACCTGGTTATAGTTAATTAATGTTATAGGAAAGTTATTCTATTTGTATTCTTTTTGTAATAATTAATTATACTTGCAAAATGGGAAAAATGTCTTAT